GGACTAAACGAGAGGTGGCACACGCACACTTTCTTACGGCTTGCGCTTCGTGTCTACTTCCAACCTCTAACCACCTCGAGTTCATGGCATATACTATAGTTCACTGTATTCATGGCACTGCGGCCCAACGCTCACTAAACCTTCGTAAAACCAAGGAGGTTACGCCCAGCGAGTATAACATAGCAACCCTTTCTTGTCAGATAGTGCTCAATGCACATGCCAATGGCTGCTAATGGGGAATGAGAGACAGGAGAATTCGGCTTTAAGTTAACGCGCACGCTGCGAATTTTTATTGTTCAACAACGCACAGGAGAAATTCCCATCGACACCACCTTGCAGGTCAAAACGAAAGAAGGGTTACGCACTACGACGAGGGACGAACAGGTGCCGCTTCGCCCCTAAAACTATTGCTGTGCGTAGCAATGCGTGGCATCGCGGTGGAAAGGTGGCAACTATGGTTCTATCCCTTCCTGAGGATGCGGAAGAAGTGCGACGGAAGAACGGCGTTGATCAGAAACTTGCGCGTTTGAACGAAAGGTGAAGGGCATTTTGGTAGGTTGGTTGGCTGGTTGGTTTTGTAGTTTTAATCTATTCGATTGCGACAACTTTATTCTCCCCGTTCAGTACACCTTTAATTAGCGTGTGCATTCATGTCAACATTCGGGCTTCTCAAAAAGTGAAGTATAGTTTCCTTCATTCGTAAACATAAGCAAGTGCTTTAGAAAATTTGTTGTATTACGTGTGCGAGTACATTTTTCGCGTATTCTTGTTTTCTGCGCAAGCGGTGCTATCTATTCTCAAATTAAGGTGCTGCACTCCCCCCCCCCCCCCAAAAAAAAAAGTTTTAATCTCGCATGTGTACATATACATGCAGCACGAACGCGCGCTGCGAATATACATAAAAGATGGGTATACCTCACCGAAACAAATTTCTCGCTATGCCCCTGTCATTGACGTATGTTTCTTCCGCGTGGAGCATAGTAGTTGAACCTGAAATATATTTCTTATGGTCAAAAGTATGGTGTTTATGCCTGTGTTTGCTCTGTGTTGTTCTCATGAAACTTGGCACACCGGCAGTTTAGGTTCGTCAGCTCGCAAGAAGTTTAACAGGAATTGCAAAACGGGATTGTCCCTGCTTCTAGAGCATTCGGCTTGCGGAAGTATCATTTGGTTCCTTTCTGACACAGTGCAGCGCAACTTATAACCATTACACTGAATAAACAATTCATAATTTCCGGACACCTAACGTGGTTAGTAAAATTTACTTTGGTTAGTTAGGAGTTTCTTCAATTGATAATTACTTTCACCAGGGTCGTAGGGCTGACATTTTTGTGGGGCAGGGTAGGGTTCAACCAACCTGTTCTAAAGCTCGTGCGTGGGTATGAAGAACACGTGTATGTATCTGCTTCGAATATCAAATACTCCCAAAACAAACAAGTGAATGTTCGGAAGCACGCGACCTTATTTATAAACGTTCACCCAATCTACAATGTAGGCCACCGGGTTGCTAGGTCTCGGTCGCTCCTCAGTTCCGCTGCTACCACCCCTGAACTTGTGACGTTCGTTGACGCAGCACAGTATCCTGGAACAGCCAATTTCGTGGTTGTGGTCACTGACCTTGATGGTAAACTCCTCACGACAACATCCCTTCGAGATACCACGCCGGCCAGGGCTGAGCAGGCCGATATAAGACTGGCCATGGTTATTCCCACGCGCACGTGCATTTTCACTGACTCTCGGGCTGCTGTACGAGCATTCCTGACGGGGTCAGTTTGTGAGCAGGCTGCCCATATTTTTACCAAAATTTGAAATTGCACTGCAATCGATGGTCACATCACCTTGTTTCCTGCCTACATGGGCAAGACTGTCCACCCTGTTATCCCTAATGCCAATGAGTCTGGCCATGCCCGCGCACGTGCACTGTCCCACCATGACGGGCATTTGGCGTCTAATTTGGGGGAAGGCATCCAGCAGCTTGATTCCCTCCTCACTTTTAACGAAATATATAAGCCCTATCAACTGTCCAGACGTAGGTTCACGCTCCCGCTCCCGCTACTCTCGAAGGCCCAGACAATCAGTTTACGAATGCTGTAAAACTGTACCTACTCGTCGCCCTTAGTTTACAGCAAGTTTATTGACAGCATAAAGCCCCACTGCCATCATTGCGATGAGAGACGATGCACGTTACCCCACATGCTCTGGCAATGCACGGCGCTGCGAGATGACGAGCCTCTCAGCACAGAGGATGCTGGGAAGATTGCAATCACCAGGTCGGACCGGGCTGTCCCGATCCGGGCTGTCCAGAGGGACCGCAGTTTCGGGGAGGGGCACGCCCTTCCCGTCCAACGTGAGTGCGGCCCGCAGCCGATCTGACCTTTTGAGGGGCACCGGCTCCTCAGGACAATTTGTGAATAAAGTTCGTTGACTGACTGACTGTCCTTATTCATTAGAAACCTAATGACATGGATCGGTGAAAGAAACGAAAGGAGCACTCCTATATAGGCACAGCTCCGTTATGTAACCAAATGAACAGCATGCGCATTCAGATTCTGATGGAACAACATAACTCACTAAGATACATGCAATCTGCAAGACCAGTCGCAGTCCAGAGTTACCTCAAAAACTGTTAAGGCTTCGCCTGCAGCAACGCGGCACACAAGTGCTAGATACCTTTCGGAGAGGCCCGCTACACATGAGCGGTTGCCTTCTTCAACCTCGGTATCGCTGAATAGGTTCGTCAAGGAGTACATCTGATTCAGTTCGCCGAAGGGATTCGATGTTTGCATCTACAGCACAACTATTTCCGATGTTTCGACAGTGAAGGCCTTTATGACAATGAGAATGAGGTGATTGACGGCCCGACGGCCCGTTTCGCCTTCGACGACGCAGCGACGACGCCACAACCAAGAAAATTCAGCACAGCGCCAAGCGAAAGTGCTGCGTTTCTCCCTCTTAAGCGTAGCCATCTTTGTTTTTCGAGCAGTGTTGCCAACACATGCAGTTTTATGGAGTTGCCAATGAGCACGCACGCACACATGATAGTATTTTCTACGTGAGTGAGTGGTGAGCGAAACAACTTAATTTGGTCCGTAATTGACGCTAGTAAACTCTGCGTCACGTGGCTTTTTATGTCCCATTGTTTTGTGTTCTTTAGATAGTCTAATTGGAACAAACTGCTTAATAAATGAGGTGAACCAAGTCGCAGGATTAGGGTAATTTCAGGTAGCATCTATCCTGCGCTTTACAAGCGCGGTGCATACAAGCAAATTAAGCAAGCTCTGGTGTACCGAGTATGACTGTGAATGATGTACTTTCAATTTAATAATTTAGTCATCTTTTTGTGAAGTTTACTTCTTGCTGCGTTGTATGCCATTTGTTTAAATTAAGGGTCATTGTGCTGCTGCATGGTAGTTTACAACGCACTTAGGGAAAATCGTGCGAGCGCGTGGCATTGATATTTATTGAACGTTTGTTTTCACTCTCGCGAAACACGAACAACAAAATAAGTACACCATGTCTAGGAAAAACTCGCATCGCGATGTTATGCTATCTCCCTCTACAACTGAGGGTTTTATTCAAAGGTATGCATATAGTAGAGATATAATAGACAGGGTGGAATCAGTGCAAAGAGGTTCGAGGGCAGATAGGTTCCAGCTAGATATATGCATAGACGGTCACCGACGCGACGCAGCTGTTGAAGCTCTAAAGACCAAACCTCCGGCTGAAATCATAAGCGTCGGCCTTTTTATCGCTTCGGGTTCTTCTCGTAGCTGCCTTAGCCGTTGCCGTTGCCTATACTATTATCAGAGTCCTTCAATACTTTTACGTACTCGGGGTCATCGGCTCACCGTCGTCGCTTCACAGCCACTTTGGTCTAACTGTTTGTTGCCTTTTCAATTATGAAACAGTGGCGTTCACCTAGTTTCTGTGCACATACCTGCTTATAATGATGTTAGCATTCTTATAGGTCGCCCAGACAAATTACGGCTTGCTTAAACAGCTTCGCTAGTAAAACAAACGTGTGAGGGGCATGTCTATAAATACGCTGATGTGTAAAAAATCATACGAGCTTTTCGCATTCGGTAAATTTATAACGGCGCAGGTGCATCGCAGCCACGATGATACTTGGCTTCTGTGAACGCTTTTCATAGCCGCACTTCTCCTAAATTGATATTGGATATCAACGGGCAACACTTGACAATGTTCTGTAAGCCGCCATTGCCAGGACACCCATGGAAGAGGTGCTTCACTCACAGTAACCAGGGAGCCTTACGTTTATAAAACTTGTTTCTCTCTCTTTGGAAAGGAAATACAGGCGTGAAATTACCGCCTTTCTTCGCTAAAGGTGAGAGCAGTTATGAAAGGCTAAGTGGTTTAACTCGAGTAATAACTCGAGTAACACTCCCTACGTAATAATGCAGTGAAGTGCAACAAACGCTGTAGTTCGTAACACACACTAGGTATGCAAATAGTGGGTCTGTCGGTGCCACTCATTGCTTACGGATGCCACTCACTCTCGGCATCCGCGAAGTGAATCGTTGATCAAGCTACCAGTTGACCTTTACGCCAGCGTTCAAACAAACAAACAAACAAACAAACAAACAAACAAACAAACAAACAAACAAACAAAGAAACAAACAAACAAAGAAACAAAGAAAGAAAAAAGCAAAGAAAGAAAGAAGCAAAGAAGAAAAGAAGAAAAGACGGAAAGACGGAAAGAAAAGAAGAAGAAAAAAAGAAAAAAAGAGAAGAAGAGAAGAAGAGAAGAGAAGAAGAGAAGTAGAAGAGGTGAAAGGGGAGAAGGGGAGAAGGGGAGAAGAGAGGGGAAGAGAGGGGAAGAGAGGGGAAGAGGGGAAGAGAGGGGAAGAGTAGAGAAGAGGGGAAGAGAGGGGAAGAGAGGGGAAGAGAGGGGAGAAGAGGAGAAGAAGGAGAAGAAGGAGAAGAAGAGAAGGAGAGGGAAGAAGAGCAGGAAAGGAAAGAAGAGCAGGAAGCAATAATGCTGTCTCATGAATACGAAATGGTTTTATTCCAACGTCGACATTGATGATGGAGAATGTTTCTGATTCTACGCTCACATGAACCTCTGATACTGCCTATATCGGGCTCCGCTTGAGCAGATGGGTTGAACGTCACGGTATTGCGACAGCACCACGTCTTTGCTTGAGCTCAGGCCTCTTCCTCCGTTGGAAGCGGTCGGAAATCCTAGGATAGAAGTGGGGTTATTAGTGAGTACAAGGAGGGGGCTCGCGAAGTAAATGCATTGCCGGGGGTTCAACGCATGAGGCTGAGTGCCAAGTATGCTAGCTGTTAGGCCTGCATTTTTTCTCCCTTAGCTATAGGCTTTTAGAGCCAATATTTTTTTTCCACTTGAAAGAAAAAAAATCATTCAACATGCAATTAGAAATTCTTGTATCTGAGCTAACACTTATCTCACGCTATTTCGCTTCCCCAGGTGAGATTTTCAGACTGCATGTACTTTAGGCGTACGTCATTGACAGGTATAATTACCAAAAAAACCCTATAACCAAACAAACTGAAAAACATCTCGAAGGCTCTTGTCGCTACTTCATGCGAGCTTATTCAGTCTATGTAATTGTGGTCCTTTTTTAGTGCCATGGTAATGTTAATATGTGCAACAGTGAATATTTGGTCGAAACAAAAAGTGGTGAGAGTCTGTGCCTGGTTGTCTTACTATTTGAAAACTATTTGAATGGTATTCTGTATGTGTTCTTATTCAATTCAGTATGATCACTATTTGATTAGTGTTCGATACGGCTCTACATTTCAGTCTTCCATAAGGCTACTTTGGGAATTATTAGGATTTAAGTGATGGCAATCCGATACACAAATTTGCCTGAAGTCAGTTATGCCTGAGTACATTACTAGTGTACGGCAAAGCGCATCAGAAGTCGAGACGGGGGTTGTGTCATTGCTCTTTAATTTATTCTACGCGCATGCACTGTTTCTGGGTGGTTAGAGTATAAACCAGCATTGTCTGCTTATGTATCTGTTATTTAAAGGCTTCTAAATATTACACGATTACGGCCCTTGGTACTTTTCAGGATTTGTTTTTTTACTGCAATAGTGTATATATGCTTATAATTTATAACCAAATTGCACGAATTAAAGTTTTGCTGCACCCGGTTGCTGAGCAAATCAGCGACAATGAAAGAAAAACCTTCGCATATAGATGTTGGTGAAATGATCTTCAGGTTTAAACACGCAGAGACAGTTTTCGCCTCACCTTGCTGCTCGCTTTTTTCACAGGTGTAACTATGTAGGTCCTGAAAAAGTAAAGAAAGGGAATTGAGCGTAGCAGCAATGCAGTTTTTGTGAAGCCGCTTATTCTATTGAAACACTCACGTCTTCCTCTTTATTAGCAGAATTACGACGACTACGGCAGGCATCAAGATACCGATGACAATAGCGACGGTCGCCCAGACACGACTGGTTTGTCTTTGGGGTGCCATTGGCGTAGTTGGAACTGCGAATGAATCACGAGAGAGGCAGCTTTAGAGGCATAATTTAGTGGCTTGTCGAAACAAGATCATGACATCGGCACAGAGAATTCACGCTCTGTGAGAAGCTCACCAATAAGTGCATAGGTTTGGCCAGATATTTTAGATCTTCCCTGTGTTTTATCATGCAATGCTTATGTTATTGAACGCTCGAGCTATAGCTTAATTGTATGCCTCGTAGGTAATAAAGCATGAAGGAAATGCTTGCTCCTGTTGACGGCGTCACCTCATCTTGCAGGTGTATTACTTTCATAGCTATTGAACCACTCATGCAGCATGCAATCGAGCCGCTGAAGCCGACAGCTAGTGATAATATTCAGTAAGAAGAATCGCTGAGCTGAGGATTAGCCACTAAATGTTCAAGTCTCAAATACGCTATGAAATACACGTGTTAGTTTTTTTTTGCCATTGCGTGAAGTAGGATATGGAGACAGCGGTGTCTTCTTGTAAACGAGTTTTTCAGCATGCAAAAAAAACAAAAACAAAACAAACGTTTGCTTGTTCATACTGCAAAGGTACATTTATAATGCATTACAGTTTTTTGAATATTATAAGTGAGTGTATAACTCTGGCACACAGACTGAAGCTTGCATAAAAATAACAAAGAAAAAAACATGCCCGGACTAGGGCAACACCGCTAGAAATACGTTTTATGAAATCCAAGAGAACGACTTTTGAGCCAATCGCATTGTTACATGCAGTGAAGCTATAGTGCCGGTAACAACTCTGAGTCATTTCTCGGTTTCCTGAGTTTTATGCAATGTTCTTTCACTGAATGTTTTGTGAAGCCACCTTTGTATGAGGGAATGTCTATTCATTTGTTTTCAAACTCCTGCAGTGGAATAATCATCATATTCTTTATGAGAAATATCATCCAAAGCCAAAGTCGCTTCGGCTAACTCATCATTTTACTAACACATATGTGAAAAACATGGGGGATGGTGATCGTTCTTACTTAGGTTACCTTGCGTGTTAGTCTGTGGTAAGTTGAAGGGTCGTCCATGTCCTCAACACCGAAACTGTGCTGCTTTTGTTACGAAAGTATGTTCAAATTTAAATTTTATACGAACGTTCATCCAGAGTTTCTTGAAGTTAAAACCGTCGTAAAAGATCTTGCCAATGACTAACAAACGAACAATGCGGTGCCTAACACCTAACGCAACATAAAATATGGCGCAGACATGCTTCATGTCGAAGGAGAGTATTCAACCTGTTATCAAGTACATTTCAACCATTACAGGGAGTACGTTTACTCCTGAACTGCTACAACGGCTACCATTATTCAGTGCCTTAATGCCGAGTGCCCGTTTCATCCAATGAGTAGACATAGCACTCACATGGCCATTTGTGATGGTGTGGTGGCTGAGGCGTCTTCGCCGTGGTGTTTTCCCTGCAGCTGAAACAGAAGGCAGAGACGTCAGCATAGATAGCTCGACCCAACAAGACACTGAAGGTGAATAAACAGCTTGGGATTTATTTATTAAGCTTGTTCCTTTGTTATTAGACATAATGATTGATCAGACGAAACGGCATATTGCATTTTCTGCGTGTTATTCATGTGGCATCATTTTAGGAATATAATTAGTCAATTAATAGCCTTATGTAAGTTACTTTCCGCTTCGAGTATTGACATGCTTGTGAGTTTATTAACTGATTCTGCTAACAGAACCTGTTACAAAACACATCTTAAAGCTCTCTGTTTGCATGGTATGTGTATACATACATATATACATACATTCGTACGTACATAAATACATGAATACATAAATACATGCATGCATGCATGCATACATACATGCATGCATACATGCATGCATGCATACATGCATACATACATACATACATACATGCATACATGCATACATGCATACATGCATACATGCATACATGCATACATGCATACATACATGCATACATGCATACATACATGCATACATGCATACATACATGCATACATGCATACATACATGCATACATGCATACATGCATACATACATGCATACATGCATACATGCATACATACATACATACATGCATACATGCATACATACATACATACATACATACATACATACATACATACATACATACATACATACATACATACATACATGCATAAGCTTGCCGCAAGTGTTGAGGCAGTTGCATGAGTTACATCACAAAATGTTTATGTGCTGTTTTACTCACTCGCATTTATATGGCTTTTCTGCATCTGGTATGCATATGCAGTCTTGAGGGCATAAGTTTGGATGGCAGCCTTCTGCAATAAACAGTCTGATGGTGTAAATGCCTTTTTTTTTTATTGTTACACGATGACAGCTCCAGGTGCTAACAGAAATTGTTTGAGATGGGCAGTTGGAAAAGCCTGTTTTCAGACAAATTTATCGCTTACGATGTTTTCATGTGTCGATAAGCTTGTCTATCGCAAGATATGCCACGAGAATGCCGCACGGACATTTCTTCTCAAATTGTTAAAACGGTGCATTTATTCACGCAGTTCATTTTGAAGTTCGTCGCAATCTTCGCCTCTTACGACAATGGCGTTAGCCGTCACATTGCATGGCGCTGCAGGATCAAAATAAGCCACAGTTGTGAACGAAAAATAATATATGTGCTTTTTTTTTCTGTTGGGCCAAGAGGGCAGTCGAATTAGGCCAGAAAGTTTCTGGATTTTGGACCCCCCGCCTTCGGGTGATACCGGGCATCGCTCGGAACACTGTGTCCAAATAAACGTTCATTTCTCTATCTTTGTGTTAGCGAATGTTGGTACAGTCCTTAAGTCGCCTTTACAGCTCATTTTGTTTACTAAACAAGCCAGGCGGTGCAATAACAATAAATCTGCGTTAACATCTGGTATTTAGCAATCACACAAAAAAGATATATCGATTGAGAGCCAAGTGTGCTTTCTGTTCCACCCAATTTCACAAATTTTCCGGTCGTTTAGAAGTGCCACAACGTTACATTTCCCACATTGCTCCCATACCTTAATGCTACGATGGGGCAGCGCCTCTAAAGTGTATCGCACGTGCCTGTGACTATGAACTTCATGCAATAATACCACGAAGCGAAACTTGTTGTGCGTAATAGTGTGACGAATCCATAACCGTTGTCTCACATTGCTGGCGAAAGTATACTCTACGCTTTTTCAGCGAATGGCTTACCATGACACCGTTGAACTTTCAGAAAGCCCTGCTGGACCATCTCTGCGCCGGCACTTCTCAAAGCACATCGCAGCGTGTAATTTCCGGCTCCTTCACTGACGCACTTGTGGCTGCCACTGGAGACGGCGTCAGTGTTGTTCAAGTAGGCGTCGCACAGGTCTACTGCCCGTGGGTCTGTCAGGAGCACCAGTAAGTGCCATTTTGAAAAGAAGCAAGCGAAAGCTGCAGAACTGCTTTTTTCTGTCTCTCTCCCTCGATATAAGCATTTCTTCCTCTCTCTCTCTCTCATTACAAAAAATCGATACTCATAGACTATAGCTATGAGTTAAGATTTTACTCACCACCATGTAAGCTTTTTTGTTTTATTTTTACATAAAAGGACACTGGGAACAGTTGGAAAAGCCCATACCACGGCACACTTTGTCTGACATGTCCTTAAGGGGACACTAAAGTAAACTATTAAGTCAACGTTGATTGTTGAAATGGTGGTCGAGAAACCTCGTAATGTTACTTTTGGGCCAAGGGAGGGACTATTTTGAAATAAAATCACGTTTTAGTTATCCGAATCGGGTTAGCGCACTTCAAATTACCCGCCTCAAAAAGCGGACCGACGAGACCGACTCGCGTCACTTTTGCCATACACAACGTTGCCTTGTTTTACTGCGCTAGTAGCAGCAGCCCGAAAGCAGCTGGAGCCACAGCAGCAACAACAGCCAGTGATCAATTTCCCGCCAATGGCTTCGACATTTTAGATGCTTTTGTTTCAACTGCGCCCCGATAGATGACACCAGCTGTCCTGTGTAACCACGTGAAAATTGGAATTTTTTAACCCCTCGCGCCATCCCCACAGTAACGTCCGGTGGTTCTGTTTTCCATGAATCAAACAAAAACGAAGAAGCGGCATTTTATTGCATCTCTCAATGCACGGAAGGCTCTTTATTTAGTACAGTTAGTTCGATTACTAGTGATTAATTGTAGGCAGTCTGTCTGATGTCATCGGAATCATTTTAAAAATGTCCTACTGCGGCGCGTGTGTTCTTGTGCATTTGCCTTAATTTCTGGGTAAGTAGGACACTGTTGTTGATAATATCGTCGTTTTAGATGTTGTCATACATTGAGCTTTCACCCTGACGCAAATTGTTATTTGACTTTAGTGTCCCTTCAAGGCTAACTGTTAAAAATAATCGCACGAATCACACAAATTGCTGATAAATGGGACAGCCTGCACGTAGTGAGAGTGAGTGAGTGAGTGAGTGACGAAAACATTCAAAAATATAGTGGTAAAACTGTCTAGGACTTTTTTGTATGCGGTTACATTACTGGTATGAGAGACCCTGTTCTAGATGTTCTGTCATCATTACTTTTAATAATTTTAGTTAACAGGACAGCTGTACAAGATCTGAAAAGTGTAAAGCCTTTCGGCTTACCCGAAGAAGAGCCGTTCACGATGTACAAAGCTGGAGCAAAAAGCAACCACTTCTTTTATCTTCATTCTCACACAGGTGTATTCTGTGCAATAGTGCTGGTGCTGGTTCTTCAGAAAATGACAATTCCACTTCGTGTTCTTCGCTATCAATGGTGTAAAAGATGGGGTAAGAAGCGATGGTAAAAAAATGTAAACTGTGTCACATGTTCTTTTTTCGCCACTTTTTAAAAATTTTATGTGATGTAACAGTTGTCTTTTTCATCACGGCACCCATTTTTACAGCCCTCATCATATTCATACCCGTTACCACTATTTGGTTTCTTGATGTGTCAGGTAAAGGATTGGGACTGCCTTAGAAACTAATACAGCTTATTAGACGAAGTTGCAGGCGTACAGTTTACTATACAAAGTCGACATGTGAGGTTTGTTGGCCGGTCATACTAATATCACAAGCAATGATTTTGATTACAGTACTTACCCACACTTGAGTAGTCTCGTTGCCATTAAGCTTTTTCCGTATAGGTTTTTCATCTGTAACCAGCAATAAGGTTACTTTATTAGATAACAGCCCAACTAATATATAGAGCAAGTTCAGCTTCTCTCCTTCTGCTGAATACTGGTTACTATGGTGCAAACTGTGATAAATTATAAGATGGGACATGATTGTAAGGTGAGAGATTGTAACACCGATGGAACAGCTCTACTAATAACCTACGACCACGAGTTCATGTGCATGTGTTTTTTATGTATCGTCGTACGAAAACACGCGACAGGCATGTGGCACACTCGTTCCACAAGTTTTATTAGCACAAAATATGGATGAGAGGAGTAGCTAGCCTTGTGCTCTGAAGGTGGGCCAGTGCCCTTATGTAATGTCATGGTGTTTGTGCAATGAACGAAAAAAAGTGCGCCCTGATAGAAAGTCACAGTTTCACCATAAGGGCGAAGCCATGAAAGCGATAGCAAAGACTTGCAATGTAACGCTTAGAAACCCAAGCAAACCGAAACGTGCAGCGCTCTGCTCACGCACAAATGACGCACGAAAACAACATGCACAGGACGAGAGCGAACGAACAACATTTACCGCTCGACACTTAATCCACTGTTTAAGCAAAAACGACGCACGAAACGTACTCGCAAGTACACATGAGTGCAAACTAACAATTGACTTAGTTGGTATAATTCGCTTTGTATTTTCGCAAACGACGCCTGTGCGAAGTGACCTCTGTGGGCCCGGCAACTAACGCAATCATTCCAGTGAAAGCCGAAGGCGCACGATTCTCCCCACAAAAGGATAAGCGTGCACTCAAGCATCTAAGCTGGGCGCCGAGCGCATGTGGTGTTTTTTTTATTGTGTTTTAACATATATAGACACGTATGGGATGAATGATGGCGGCGGTGGTGACGGCAAAAAAAAAAGACAACCGACACCGTTCACATAATTGCTATCGCAATAATAACTGAGAAACGTGATTGGAAGTCATGTACCTGCGCCTCCTTTTTAATCTAGATATGGTTCGTCACAATGCTTTGTGCTTGCATCACCGCAGTACAGTTTGTTAGCTTCACCGCAGTACAGTTTGTCAGTTTCACCGCAGTACAATTGGTCAGCTTGGCCGCACTACAGTTTGTAAACTTCACCGCAGTACATTTTGAAAGCTTCACCACAGTGCAGTTTGTATGCTTCACCGTAAATCATAAATGTACCGCAAACCACATTGCAAAGTGTGTAATTTTCACTGTGTAGCATCAATGTGGTGCAGAAAGACAACTTTATTATTTTTGTAGAGAGCTTCGTTTTGTAACAGCAATGTCAAGCGGCGACCATAACTTAACGACTTCCATAAATAAATTGCACATGCCACTCTCTCGTCAGCCTTATGTATACCATATGACGGTTTCAGATCTAGCCTGCAGAGATCACTGACGTTAGAAGGGATAATGACGATAGGAGGGATAATGACGGTGACTATAACAGCATTCAACTCGACAAATAACAAATGTGTGCAGTATGATGCATACGTTCAATGATCGTGTTTGAACAGTATGCCATTCAGATAGCTTTTATCAGTGCTCTGTTCATTTATGGAAGATGTTGAAATAAATAGTGTCTGCAATATTATTTACGCGAATAAAATATGGTACACGTGAATGTCCCCAGAAATCATGACACTCGTTTTTAAAATGCGATGCATTTCTTAGTCGGGTTATGTCAGGCATCCGGTGGTGGCGTCCGCGGCGGCGGCCGCGCGCCGGCAGGTGTTATCTCTTCGATATCACACCCTCTCCCATAACAACAACTGCGGGCGCGCGCGCTTATCCTCGCCCCTAACAAGCCGATAATGTGGTGCAAGAGAGTGTAGGAGAGGGTAAATGCAGTGCTTCGTCACTCCTATTCTCGCCGTTCTCTCTCTTTTTTCCCTGCGACCCTCTCTCCCGTCCACTTACGCCTCACTCTGGACCGTTCGCTGGCTGGGCGCTTCTCAAGAACATCCAGGATTCGCTCGCAGGATTTCAAGCTGGACGGTTGTGCCCTCGCAATCTCCGACGCCAGCGTAGCTCCCGTCGACTGGTTCGCCCTCCGCGCTCTCCTGACGCCATGCAGCTCTCGCATTGTGGCGCCCCGCCCTTAGACTGCTTCGACCAGATCCCCACTTTCCTATTTCCTTCTTTTTCCGTCTCTTGCCTGTCTACTTCTTCGTCTATTTTCCTCCTATTCTTTTTTTATCCTTCCTTCCCCCAACCCTATAAGGCACTGCGCCGTGTCGCCTGAAGGCAGACAGAAATTAGGTGCCTTTTTCCTTTTCATTCTAACCACTAACACCACCACCAAGAACATCCGGAAATGTGTGGTGAAGACGCCGCTGTGAAACGCCAACGCAGAGCCGAGAGCACTGGCGCCCCGCTCTCCCGTCCGCTCGCTCCTCATTCTCGCCTGTTCACTGGCTGGGCCTCTCTCAAGGCGATGGCAGAAGCCGGTGAAGGCGAATGTCTGACGGCAATGGTGCCCTCTTTCGGGATTCGGTCGCTGGATTTCATGCCGACTGGTTGTGCACTTGCGATCTTCGACGACAGCGTAGCTCTGTCCGACTGGGCTGGCCCTACGACATCTCCTGACGCCGATCACCGATGACAGCGTAGCTCTGGCCGACTGGACTCGACCTACGCCATCTCCTGTCGCCGACAAGAGCTCTCGCCAGTGGTGCCCCTGTCCTCGGACTCCTGCGACCGTCTCCATCTTTCTTATCTTCTCCTCACTTCCGTCGTTCCCTGTCCCTGCGCTTCGCTCTCTCCTTACTCTGTCTCTATGTCTTTACCTTTTAATCCTATAATTTTAATCCCTCCTTTACCCCCCCCCCTCCCTTGTGAGCTACTGTTGAGGTGTTCTCTCCCTGAGAGACAGTTACTGGGCTCACTTTTCTCTTCTTTTTATTATATCACTCCCCCCTCTCTCGGCGCAAGAAATGCATTCACATTTCCTCACAATTCTTTCGGGGAGGTCGGGGCAATTTTTTTAAGAACCACAATTTGCCTGAGCCTCACTTCCCGTCAGACTAACTTTTTGTGACCATAGATTTGAATTTTAGGAGTTATGAACCATCAGATTTTCAACGAGAACAACAGCAGGCCATTGGATGAAAAAGACAAAGGATAAAGATCTCTGAAACTTACGGCACTTTGGATCAGCTTCTCAGTATTGGCACACCTGTGCGTAGTATTGGCCGTAAGGTAAACTTGGTCTTGCGTGAAGGTTATAATGTAAACAAATTGCCTATCTGGAATGTTAAAGTACTTCAATAAAACTTCAGTGTGGTCGTGTTGGAACATAATAATCATACTAAACATACTCCGCAAACAAGGTGGATGCCGCACAAAAAGAGACGGCGCACACAACACTTGTGCGTCTTCTCTATAGTTGGGTGTCGCGTGTAGCTGCAACTTGACTTTAACGTAATTTGACGAATTGTTAGAACATCTATAAATTCAGAGGACTAAACGTTACGGTGAATCTTAATGGAAATCAATGATTCGGTGCCAAAATTGGTTTATAATTTATCCTGGGTGGGTACGGCTAACCGATACCAATGCTAAGCTAAACTTATTGGTTAAGTTATAAGAACTCCAAATGGGCAGCCGAAATGACACCTTTGGGTGTTTGTGAGCACAATGCACTCCGTATGACGCGAACAAAATATTATCGTTTATATCTAGGATAGTAAGATTTTTACAGTAATTTCACTGATGTTTTCTCGTGTGCTACAAACGCGATATAATTATAAAGATGCTGTAGAAAAAATTGTGAAAGAAGTTTGGCCACATTGGGCCCATTTATTATTATAGGTACGCCAGAAAGGCAGAAATTGATACAGAAACTGTGCAAAGAACCGTGCTCATAACAATACACTCAAGCATCTTCTTGAAGCATTTTTTTCTCTCTCTCATTACAAAAAATGATACCCGTAGACTATAGCTATGAGGTAACACTGTGCTCACCAGCCCTGCACCTCTAATAGCTTTCAGGCGAAAGAGGTTTGTACAAGCCATGGCACCCCAGGAAACGTCAGTGTTCTGTGTTCATCCTAGATGAAATATTTTGATTGTTGTTGCATTGGTGAAGCAGACACAAAAAAAAAGGTTAGCTTCACCTTGAGCTAAGAACACCCTCCTTCATTACGTATTTATGGAGGTGTTTATTTGAATGCTCGAGTAGTTGAAAAGCACCAGTAGATTGCAAGGTCTTGTCAAAAATCTACCGAAAAAACTTGTTAAGGGTTCATGTGTTACTCACCTAAAGTGCACTGTTGCTTGGTGGAGTCCAATTTCAGTGGATACTCGCAGACACATATTTCTTCGTTGGAATCAATTACGCACTTGCTTAGTAAAGGCTGACATTTGAACGAGCACTCCTCTGAAACATGAGGACAAAAAAAATATAGTCGTTCAGTTTCATTGGGTGTCTTTGCAGAATGAAGACACACATCTCATGCTGCTAATACAGCGAGTGCTTTCAAACTTCGTCATGCAGAAAAACGTTCTTCTGAACATACCTAAAGAATATATATCTTTGATTCTCGGTAAAAAAAAAAAAACTGATCAATAACTCACGTCAGTTACCAAGGGGCCTCCTGGTCCAAAAAAGCGTGAGAGCGTAATCGGGAGCCATTGCTCAATTAACCACACACTGCGTAACACTGGGGGTACCATTAGGTTCGAGGATTTAGCAACCACGAACGCAGTATGCCGAAGTTGATTGTTTTCATAATTAAGCTTAACAATGGTCTCACCCGAGCAGACGCCGTCAATCAAAGCGGAGCCCGCAGGACACTGGCAGGAGGCTTTTCCGTCTTTGTAGACGCATTCTTGGCCGCTATCTTCGCAGCTCGATTCTTCCTCTTCATTACATTCAACTCTAGCTACAGAATCAAACAAAGGCGACTGATTAGCGTTTTGATGCGAAAGTAGCTGATTAAACTTATCCCACTTCAAGTTAGAATTTCGTTAAAAGTTTTTGGAGCTAAAGTGAGGTGTTAGGCTGGTTGGTTTTTCATGATTGAAAAAAAAAATTGTCACTACAGTTGCTGCGAAATACGAAGTCAGAGAAAATTTCAGCATCTCCACGGAGTGGATGATGGTGAGGTAGGCGAAGCTCCGGAGTTTTTTTGGCGATACCGTGGATCTTCCGAGGAGCAGCATCCGGGTCGACCCGGCGCCGCGCAGGCTTCCTAGCCGCTTCCCGCTCTCGCATTCCGTTGTTCGCCTTTCGTTGAGCCCGTTTCGCTGCGGCGTCCTCGGGATCCACCCGGCGCCACGCTCGCTTGGCGGCAGCCTCTCGAGCCACCAAGCGCGATCCGACGCGTACGGCGACGATCCAGGAGAATGAGAGATAACGGGCGGGCCAGCGCAGCCCCGCGCAGCTCGCGCAGTAGCCAGTCTGAGAACGGCGTAAAGCCCCTTGATCAAGGGGCTTCAGAGCAGCGTAAAGAGCAGCGGTAGCTCCCACGCTGTCTAGTGTACATTCACTGAAGCACCATATTGCACACATCTTGACGAGACAGTGCCATGTAGGAAACTAGATAAAAAATGACGATGGCGACACAAATAAGACTTCATCTAGGAACCTTAGACACAGAATCTGTACAGCGCCATCGCCACCCAACTGCAGTTTGCCTGCATCTTCATGGGACAGCACCATTTATTGTGCGATAAGGGAGACGCTACTGGTTACGCCGGAGGGACCAGGGATTACCTTAGATCATAACCTTCACACCTGAAACTACAGTTCTGGTCAAATCAAGTAATAAGACTTTACGCGAAATTTGGGAGGCCTTTCATATATCGGACCAGGAAAACACAAGCGTCAGTTCGAGCTTCATTCCACTAAATCCTACGGAAATCGAATTCAAGTGAAATAGAAATGGAATTGAATCACCATACTCGGAAAAGAACTTTGAGTCATCACCGCACCTCGTAATTGTAATCACCGCACGTGTAGCATCTGAAGATAATTGAGCGAGACTGCCGCTCCTTCTCCACGTTTATCGTGAACCGATTTTTCTCTTTCCCAGAAGCCCCCCTACATCAAAGGTGTTTCAACGAAATTTCAATTGGCACCTGTAGTAACCATTTAAGTTCATGTCTCCTCCCTAACTTCGTTTTAGGGGCAAAACTCTATATAGCGGCACCCGTTCGTCCCTCGTAGTATGTAACAAGTATAACATTTTGACCTCCAAGGTGGTGCCGGTGAGAGACTTCTTCTGTGCGCTGTTGAACAATAAAAAATAATGTTCAATGTACATATCAATGGCTGCTAATGGGGAATGAGAGACAGGAGCATTCGTCTTTTAGTTAACGCACAGGCTGCGATCACCACTAGCAGCCATTGGCATGTACATTGAGCACTATCTGACAACAAAGGGTTGCTACGTTATACTCTCTGGGTGTAACCTCCTTAGCTTTAGAAAGGTTTAGCGAGCGTTGAGCTGCAGTGCCATAAATACAATGAACTTGTATATACCATGAATGAAGTCGAGGTGGTTAAAAATGGGAAGTAGATACGAAGCGCAAGCCGTAAGAAAGTAAAAGCCGAATTCTCCGCCTCTCATTTCCCATTAGCAGCCATTGGCATGTACATTGAGCACTATCTGACTGAAAAAGTTTGCTACGTCATACTCGCTGGGCGCAACCTCCTTGGTTTTCGAAAGGTTTAGCGAGCGTTCGGCCGCAGTGCCATGAATATAGTGAACTAGTATATACCATGAACTCGAGGTGGTAAAAGGTGGGAAGTGGACTCGAAGCGCAAGCCGTAAGAAAGTGTGCGTGTGCCACCTCTAGTTTAGTCCTTGGAATGTCCGCTGGATGGCGGTGCTTCTATATGGGGAATATATGATGAAAAGATGCGAGATGGTGGTACTGGGAGTGTTGAATAGATGGACGAACGGACACATAGACAGGTGCATGGATGGACGCATGAACGGACGCAGGGGCGGCTGCATGGACGAACGCAGGGACGGACGCACGAACAGACGCACGCATGGACGGTCACACTGACGGACGCATGGACGGACGGAAGCAAGAACGAATGGATGGACGAATTCTTCGCCCCACTCTCCATCATTCACTCCGTGGATATGCTGCAATTTTTTTTTCGCAGGAACAGTAGAGCAATTTTTTCAATAAATATTTGAAGTAGTGTTCTGCATACAAAATTTCGACACACATACTGGCCATTGTAAAATATATCTTTTCTTGGAGGTGGAGGGAAATTGTTATAGTCATGACATTTGTTTAAAAAACGTTGCCGTGATATATCGCCAAACACGTCAGTGCATCGGAATACGGCGGTGACGTCACCGCAGGACCAAAGCGGCTTCGATTAGGCACATGTTCGGTTGGACAAAGTGGCCCAACGCATGCTCTATGTACTTGAAGCTGATCAAGAATTGTATGGTGACCATATGAATGCGAGCCAAAGCCTATGCGAGAAGTATAATAACTAGACTGGAGAGTGTCAGAGGGCTGAGCTGGGATGTAGTATATCAGCAGTGCGTTTTATGTTTCTATCATCAGTAGCTGTGGAAGAGATGTCTATAGTGTAATTTTACATCTCACTGATATCAGTATATTAGGCGCAGCAGAAAATTACCTTGGCACGTGCGTCCATCGGCGCTCAGCTCTTCGCCATCATCGCAGTTGCACTTGTAGTAAGGATTTGATGAGTTCTCGTACGTGCAACCATGTTCACAGACAGAACCAAGTAAGTCCTCTGCACATACATCTGTGCACGAAAGAATGCCCAGCAAGCGCATGCTTTATGTAGTTAGAGATGTGTTACTCTGTATGAAGCAACTGAATGTTTAGAGAAAACGAAACCGAAGAAAAAAAAATTGATCTCAATGTCAGTTTTACAGCTCTGCGACTCATCTACCAAAAACAATTTCTCAATCCCGTAACATCAATAAACGTAGCGTAATCCAAAAATATCAAGTGAAAGAAAAGGGAGCGTCTCTCACTATAATGGCGGGAAGCTCGATTCAACAGCGGAGCTTGTGTTCAACCTAGGCAAGTTTTGCTAATAATGCCAAGCTTTTGCTAATAGGACCGCGGGAAGATGCGGTTACAGGGTAGTTTTTGGTTTACTTTTATTTACCTTGTGCGATAAGCTTAGGGAGGGTGCCAACCATTGCGCTCTATTTGCGTCGGCATGCAATATTGCTTTGACGGCGCGCAGTCAAAGTGTGCAGCCGGATCTGCCACACAGACACGGCAGGGTGCCCACACGAGATCACTGAGTGGTCACGGTTTTTTGTTAACTTGGGAGAAACAAACCAACCGTGCACGTGGGCAACAGAAGGAATTGGATTAGAAAATTAATCATGACGACCCCCTCACTGCTTCATAGCACTTCAGTGTACGCATCAATGGGCCTATTTCGAGAACCTGCGCGGCGCGGTGGCTTCTCACAACGGTTCAGCTGCGGCCTAGCCGCATGCTGTGTTCATGCACGCTGTTTTGAGGCAGCGTGCTTGGCGGAAACGCGGAGGTCACCGACAACCTTGTGCCACGGTTTGGCTTACTTCTAGTGGCTCTTGGCTCTTCTGGTGGCACTTCTAGTGGCTCTTCTGGTGGCTCTTTTATAGCTCTTGGAAGCGGGCGGGTTTGCGACACGTGAAAGCGTGGCTGATGTCGCTGTAATCGGGCGCCCCGGTCGACGATTTCGTGCGTATTGTCGCGTCGACATCTTTTCGACTGCTTCCGCGTTTATCCTTGCAAATGAGCTCGTAAGTGGAGCCACAGCGGTCGGCGAGCGGTTCCTCTTACAGCGCACAGGGGACAGGCGGATTATTGCCCCGTCGACAAGAAGTGGAAGTGTTTCCCGGGAAGCCGTTCCTATGACCATAAACCCCAGTATGCGTAGCTCTAAGTCTAGATAATTGTGCGCCGCTGAGCTGGCCCTTGCCTCTATGACGTTTTATAGTTTTGTCTTATTTACATTTTTGTTGTTGTGTTATTTGGGGCGAGGACATGAGCCCGCTCGTGCACGAAGGTGGTGTCTTTGTGGCGGGGTTTTGATTGACCAAAAGTACCGTCCTGTCATAGGACAAACAGGCGACGATTCGCCGAGGGTTGTGTAAGGGTGGAGCTCCGAGGGAGTAAGAAGAGGCCCCGGGGTTCCACCAAGCGTTCTGAACCGGGCTTACATGTTTAGGCACCTCCGGTTCTGCCGAATCCCGTGGTATGCCCTACAAGAGATGGTTCATTTTCAAAGTGTTTCCTTTTGTTATTTTGTAACTTTGATGTCCGTACTTAGGTAACATCTATACAGTCTGTAAATACAAGCTGTTTTCAACCTACTGGAACTTCTTCAGCACTTCTTCTTCATCTTCAAGTGATCAGCAAGTCACTCGCCGCTATTTGCATTATGGCAGTACGTTTCTTCTCCCACTTTGCTATACCACCTCGGGTGGTGCATCTCGGGTGCCTGCCAAGTGGTGAGAGTTGGTTTCTACCGAGACAGCAACAACCTGAATTTTACTAGTACTAAGTATGACCATACTTGGCTAAGCTTGCCCGGTTTCGATCAGTTCCCCACACAACACCCATGTCACGTAGTCTTGGCGGAAGCATGTCACGCATTGTGCATCGGGACTGGATATTTGTCCACAATCGTACACAGCTACGTATGAGTGACTGATTGTTTCAGTAAACATTACCCCGATCGTGCATTCGTTTCGTGTGGTCGTTCATAAAGCCCAAATTAACAAAATCCTTATCCACTAAAACATCGTGAATGCTTCAGTCTTTACCATCACATGATCCGATTTCCCAGTTCTGGCAGCAGCGGTTATCCTCTCTCAGTTTCGGGTTATTGCAGATGTCCGCACACGTGAAGTCCGGAAGTAAGCAAGCGATAGCTGAAAAGCAAACGAACACAAACAGACGTTGTTTCACACAGCAGTCGTATGCGGGATGAAAGCGACTCCTTGCCAATTTTCAATGTTAATGTGTAGTAATGTTCCTCCCATAATTCAGGCAGAAGTGCATCTCGTATTGGTCGTTGCTACAAAAAAGTTTAAGAAATAGTCGTTTAACAGCAGTACAACTGCGTAAGCGCAACCAACGTATTTTGATTTAAAGGAATCATAGTCTGCGCAAGTGGAAACAGTGCTTCGTTACTTCGAAGCGGTCATTGTTGCCTCAACTTTGGGACAAATTTAGTTACAAATGTGTTTCGCACCCTCCCTTGGCGAGCGGAGATCCTGCGCCACCCGCTTTATTGCACTCTGAGGCCGCACGTCTGTTGGACGGTCTTTCTTTTTTGGCAGTAAAATCGCTGCTGTACCGCAATGCATTGCAATGAAAGTTACTATCAACTTACGAGCATTTACTATGGAATGTATTCTTTCCAGCCACTCTAACGTTTTTTTTCTTTTTTTTATTACTGGAATGAGCTTACTCGGACGAATGTGTCGTGAATAAAAGTACGCAATGCCATTGCAGTCATAGAATTCCAGTAGCAATTCAAGTACGCGAAGGTTTTTTTTTTTTGAAGGGCCCCGCCATGGTGGTCTAGTGGCTAAGGTACTCGGCTGCTGACCCGCAGGTCGCGGGTTCAAATCCCGGCTGCGGCGGCTGCATTTCCGATGGAGGCGGAAATGTCGTAGGCCCGTGTACTCAGATTTGGGTGCACGTTAAAGAACCCCAGGTGGTCGAAATTTCCGGAGCCCTCCACTACGGCGTCTCTCATAATCATATGGTGGTTTTGGGACGTTAAACCCCACAAATCAATCAATCAATCAATCAATCAATCAATCAATCAATCAATCAATCAAGGTTTTTGAAGGCGCTGCACGTAGAAAATACCAGTGATATACTCACACAGACAACGGTCGTTCTCGAGCTGAGTACCGTACGGGCAAACGCATTGCGGAAAGCCATTCTGGTCGAATGTCTGTTCCCCACCACTCTTGACGCACTCGTCTCTGAATGCTTCATCAACTGGAATTACAAAAAAGAAAAAAGAAAATTAAAGGCCGGCTTTTCGTTCTCTGTCTCATATTGAGAAATCTACCCAATAATTCCCGTGTGGATTTCATAGAATAGTGAACGGAAACTTGCATGTACTTGCCTGAATTAGCCAGCAGCATTTCACACACATTTATGTATAGTATGGCTTGTGGTAAATAGTGCAAAACAATACTAAGGTTTGTTAAGATTGATTATTTTTCAGCCATTATACATAAGAAGTAAATGAACAAAGCCAGTTATATAGGCAGGCACTTAATGAACCAACCAGCTTGCCAAACGAATTAGGGTAAATACCTTCACATTCTTTTGTCATGCCATGTATTCCAGAACAGTCACATGTAGCTGCGTCGCTTCCGTGGTTGTCGAAGCATTTTCCAGGAAGGCACAGTATTTCTGAACACGAATCGAGATCTGCCATCATAGTGAGAGAAAAACGTTAGCCAACAACCCGGTACACTCAACTTACTGCGTTATATCACCGCATTAATAAGCCAAATGACAGAAAAATTTCGACAGGATGTTACACTAGCAGACAAACGCCTGCTCCAGACTTGGTTGTGCATTGATTGTACAATAAGAAAGCAGACTTCGTCCAAGACAAATGAACCGCAATGTGAGTTACCGCGACGTTCTTAGTCGACGTTATTGTTCCTTCCACCTTTGATCTTTGACTATGTTTTGACGTCACTCAGTGATGTCCCAAATATTACTTCATTAGTGACGTAAGCACATTAGTTGTCGTATTTCTCTAAATTTGACACTCAACGAGACGTTTATAGGCTTTCGCCTTAAAAAGAAACTATAATCTCCGGAGAAAGAAAATATATCTGAGTCACTTACGGTAGCATCGCTGAGCCGTCGCGTTGAAGTAGCGCTCGTTTTCACACAAACATGTGAAATATTGGCTTCCGTTGATAGGAACACAAGGCACAGTTCCGCACAGCTTCCCAGCAGAAGCGCATATGTCCATATCTACGGTGTCAGGAACGACAAAGAACCATTTAGGTGAATGTCGATCACAAAGAGTGAGCAATCAGACCGGCGTCTAAAGTGATTTTAAAAATGATACGAAGGTATTTCTAGAACACTTTAACGAATCTATGAGCAAGACGTTCGGCACTTTTCAGTGTATATAAATACATCCACGTGCCGTATTTTTCTGCCTCTTTAGGACAGCCGTTAGCTTTGGTCTGTATGAAGGAGGACCGTACCGTAATTATAGGTGTCCTTCATGATCGCTTTTTTTGGGGGGGAGATAGTGTGCATCACGAATACAATACAACGAACTGAGAAAACAAAAAAGGCAGAATATATGGCGGTTAATTAAGAGGTTTATCTTTGGAAGGTTGTCAAGGTTATCTCTATTGGTGCAGAAAAGCTCCACCGTTTCTCGTCCGTTTGATTAAGGTTACATATCCCGTCATAAAACATGTACCCGGAAGTGTCATATTTGTGTTTAGTTTCGCGCTGTCGTTTCCAACACCCCTTGGGTCTAGTCAAGCTGCTCATGGTGGCTTTTAGCCTCGGATGACTTTTTAGTCTGTCTGAGATAAATAAAAATTCAGATGTGTGGTGGCTGCATTTCCGATGGAGGCGGAAATGTTGCAGACCCGTGTGCTCAGATTTGGGTGCTCGTTAAAGAACCCCAGGTGGACGAAATTTCCGGAGCCGTCCACTACGGCGTCTCTCATAATCATATGGTGGTTTTGGGACGATAAACCCCAGATATCAATCAATCAATCAATCAATCAATCAATCAATCAATCAATCAATCAATCAATCAATCAATCAATCAATCTAAAATTTAGATTGCGCTTGAGCTTCACCTTCAAGAGTGAAAAGCGACAGTGCAATCGGACTCCTTTCGCATCACCTTCTCAATTGATATATAACTTCGGTTCTCGGAGCATGCCACGCCGTAAGAATACGAACGACTGTGCGAGTAGCGTTGGCTGTTACAAGTTATAGTAGACTGCCTATTGCAAGTACAGCTGTTAAGTGCCCACCGCGCCATACTTCCTTTTGTGAATCGGTGAAAGGTCCACCATTCGTACGTAAGGCAGCGCGTGAACCTAAACGCAGCTGGTAAATTTGCTGATGCTGTTGCAGCTGATGACGGTTAAATACATCTGAGTGCTGTGTAACGGGCGGGCCTTTAGAACACCCTCTCCTCGTGCAATTCACGTGTCGTGACGCCTTTCGCAGTTACACACTTCTGCCGCGTAATATACATGCGTAAAGAAGACACCTTCCACTGCACGGCATTCATGCAATGCTTTCTCTCTCTCTCTCTCTCTTTTTTTTTTTCAAAGCAGCTTCAAGCCGTTGCGTAGTGCTATGGTCGAACGCCAGCTCGCAGCGCAGAGGTCGTGGATGCGATTCTCACGTTAACCAAGGACTTTTAACATTTATTTTATTTGAACCTTTTTTTTTCATTTTTCTCATGATACGGACGCCGTCATCTGAATTTCTGCGAAAAAAAAAAGCTTTTTAACGCTTTCACTTTCATAACTGAAATTTACATTAATGGTGCCTGTTTGGCTGTCGCGCGCTGTAGGTTAGGCGAATTAGAGTAGAAAGGTGTGAAAACGGAAGGAAATGTGTACTAAATTCGACCATGCGAACTGCAAAAGGTGTTAACAAATTTAGACTTATCACTTTCAAGATGAAAAAAAAAAAGGCAGATCCCATGCATAGTGGGAATTTATAATATTCGAAGCACGATAAGGAAGGTCGATATGCCACTTTATTATCAGCACAACGTCAAGAGGCGGACGCAAATTATGCCGTACATGACTTCCATGTCATGATTATCATGTTTGCTCCTGGAATTTTGTTCGTCTCCATTCATGACTCGTAATACCAAATTTGGTGTATGTGAAGTTAGAGAAACGATCGCGAGCGCACCATGAGTGTAGCGTGTACTCATGTTTTACATGACACGCATACCATGATTATCATGTTTGGACGTGTCACTTACCTTCGTGATGTATTCACGTCACGTAATACCAAATTCGGTATATGTGAAGCTAGCGAAACGGCCGCGAGCGTGCTATGAATGTAGCATGTACTCATGTTTTACATGACACGTATATCATGATTATCATGTTCGCACAAGTCAAGTACCTTCGTCATCCATTCATGCCACGTGATACCAAATTTCGTATTAAGTGAACTTAGCGAAACTTAGCGCATCATGAGCGTGGCATGTAGTCATGTTCTTACATGACACGCGTGTCATTATCACTATGTTTGCACCAGCTATATACTTTCTTTATCCATTCACGGCAAGTAATACCGAATTCGGTGGATGTGATACTAGCGAAAGGACCATGAGCGCATCATCAGCGTGGCATGTAGTCATGTTCTTACGTGACATGATTTTCACGAGAGGGCCTCTCACTTATGTTCGCCATGCAGTCATGTGATACCATACCCGTTTTGCGATATGTGATATGAGCGACACCACCGCAGGAGCAGGAAGACCATGACATGTAAATCATTAGATTATTGACATACATGTCAGGATTTTCATGTTATGACTAGTCAGTTATGTTCGTTATACAGTCATGTTATATCATACCAAGTTTGGTATCAATACTATTATCTAAACGGCCAGGAGTGCTAAATGTCATAGGCGGCTAGCTAGCTGATCGATATGATTGATATGTGGGGTTTAACGTCCCAAAACCACCATATGATTATGAGAGACGCCGTAGTGGAGGGCTCCGGAAATTTTGACCACCTGGGGTTCTTTAACGTGCACCCGAATCTGAGCACACGGGCCTACAACATTTCCGCCTCCATCGGAAATGCAGCCGCCGCAGCCGGGATTCGATTCCGCGGCCTGCGGGTCAGCAGCCGAGTACCTTAGCCACTAGACCACCACGGTGGAGTGCGGCTAGCTAGCTAGCTAGCTAGCTAGCTAGCTAGCTAGATAGATATAGATAGATAGATATAGATAGATAGATAGATAGATAGATAGATAGATAGATAGATAGATAGATAGATAGATAGATAGATAGATAGATAGATAGATAGATAGATAGATAGATAGATAGATAGATAGATAGATAGATAGATAGATAGATAGATAGATAGATAGATAGATAGATAGATAGTCAAGCTTACCAAAGTTCGCTTAGAAATCTTCGCATCAGCAAAAGGTATCCTCAAACACTTTAGGCACCTGTTACGACGACTGGACGATGGACCGCTTTTCGTGCTAGTAATACGTCCTTCCCATCGCGTGTCAATATTAACGAAATAGTGGGAATGAGGGGCCAGTTTGTTTGTTGTACAGAACAACCCAAAGCCAGCTGTTAATGAAGCATTACAAAGATCGGAGCCCAGATTCGTTGCTTTAATTGAAGGGTGGTAATTAACCAATAGAGGAAAATGATAGTCGGTGAAAAAAAACGAAGAAAAAAACAAACAAACGACTTGCTGCCGGTGGCAAGCGAACAGAGCGCATGCGATTCATAACTACTTGCCTGCGCGATATACCAAAGCGCTACCGCCCACATTGACGTTTCACACCGGTGTGGCAAGAACCAAAATAGCATATGACGTTTTTATCCGTGTTGACTAGAGCATGCATTGAACAATTGTTCTTCTAACAACGTCTGTCAAAAGGTGGCCCCACCACGGTGGTCTAGTGGCTAAGGTACTCGGCTGCTGACCCGCAGGTCGCGGGATCAAATCCCGGCGGCGGCGGCTGCATTTCCGATAGAGGTGGAAATGTTGTAGGCCCGTGTGCTCAGATTTGGGTGCACGTTAAAGAACCCCAGGTGGTCGAAATTTCCGGAGCCCTCCACTACGGCGTCTCTCGTAATCATATGGTGGTTTTGGGACGTTGAACCCCCACATATCAATCATATCAATAAATGTCAAAAGGTGTTGCTAGACTTTTCAACCTACACAGACGCTGTCGTTGTTGAAATAAACGAAATGGTTGCAGCGAAGGTCCTGGAGTAATGTAGTCGATCTATGCCAGAAGTTGCAAGTAAGAAGCTGCAGAAATCCGTAGAAGCTAAAGTTCTTTGGCGTAAAATTCTGCGTATAAAAAGATAAAGCAAGTGCATCTATCGGAACACTCTCAACTAAAAAGCATCTGCAAGATAAGATGCCAGTCATCTAAACCGAGTGGTGGAAAAACAACAACGCCCATGTGAAGCATTCACGGACTATATAGTTCAACTCATGCATCTACAGATCGTCGAAGTTGTCTTACCGGGAATTTCTTCTGCAAACGCGACTGTTGCCAGGCTAGCGAGAAACACAACGAACAGCACCGTGAAAAGCGAGCGTTCGTTGTTCATTCTTCCCATATCGGTTCGGTTTCCTGGTAATCTTCACAAGCGTCGTCGAGTGGTGTCGAGTAGACGGGCGCTGTCCTCGACCACACCTGTCAGTCGCTGCGCTGCTGTAACGTCTCATGCGTATGTGCAACAACGACGATTGAAGCGTCTCTGCGCCTGCTGGATGGCACGTAGGAAAACACAATATTACTTTTCAGGTGCCCCTTCCCCCTGCTCTTCCTATCGCCTCTCGCTTTCCATATTGTCACTATAGTTCGAATTCTAACGGCCGCACACCTGCTCAGGTGAGAATGTTCAACGGCAGCAGGGGCTAGCGAATAGCACTTTATTGTCGAGACGAGGCCGCAATATCCTTCTCGCTCGCGGGAACACCGATAAGGAATGGCTCCGCAGTGATAACGCGACTTTGAGAGAGAGGCGTGCGTCAGATACCCCGGAGTTACCTTGACATGGAGTGTTTCCCTTTACTTTTTCTGTTACGCACGAAATGCCGAACACGGGTGAAGATTGGACTACGTAGTCTTGTATTTTTGAATGCAGAAATATTTGGCATAAGTAGGTCGTTATACGTCTTGACTTCTGAATAAGAATAATTCATGTAGCGCTGCATTTACTCTGACAGCACATCGGAGTGTTTAGAGAGAGAGAACTTAGCAGTGATAGATGGGAAAGTTGACCACAGTCGTAACGTAACTGCAAGAACCCCCAGTTTATATTTTTCGTGTAGATATAATATATATATATATATATATATATATATATATATATATATATATATATATATATATATATATATAGTAACAAGCATTTGTTGCTTCGTTGTGATGCACTCGGATTCACCGGCAAGACTTATGTCTTCGACTCAGGAAAGTGCAACACTTCCGAAAACAAGAACCAGAGTCTTGTGAAACTAAAAGTCTTGTCACCGTTTATTATTTAATCATAATCACAAGAAGAACAAAAAGAGGAACTATCTCAACCAAACTATAAACCTATAAAACAAAATCTGCATCTAATCTACGGTGATACTCAAATTTGGTATAAAAAATCATAGAAATATTCTTGGAGTACCATTTTCAAGCAGTATGCTTCGGAAGGAACATATTGACAGTGTACTCTGAGAATTGTCGCGCGTGGTGTATATGGTATACAGCTGCTGAACAGTGCTACCATGTAAAGTAAAGCTTTTTCTTCAAAAATAAGTTTTTGTTCGCACCTCATAATTTTTTTTTGGTTAGGGGCTGCACATCTCATGCGAACTTGTAAAAACAATGCATAACGCTACAGAAATACGTTAGAATAAATTTTAACTTACCTTATGATGCTCGCACAGGCTAATTGTTTCAGCGGGCTGGAATATTAGCCGCCCATGACGCCTACGCTTCTAATTTAGTATTGACAATCAGGCGCTAAACGAAAAGGAAATCGACGTTTTCTGCAAGACCTCTTCCAAGTGCAGCCGAACAATACATTGCTAAATATACAAAACAGAGAAATGTGGAAAATGGAAACGTCGAAAACAAACTACTCGAAAGATATTTTAGCCTACATACTTTCTACTTTACTTTACAAGTACTTGAAATCTGGTGTTGACGTCCTACAATGTACACAGACACAGTCGCGGCGACATGAACATGGTAAGTTCTGATTAATATTACTAATACCACAATTGCACTGTTGTTATTATTGTTAGTTTAAAGCTGTGTTTGGTTTGCTTTGTCGCATGTTATTTGAGCTATTGCTATTGACGGTTATTGCTGCTGTTTTGTATAATGGAAGCTGTGGACCCTTGTCAAGCTGTACCTTCACTGAGCAGTTCATTTCGGGTACATTATATTGAAAACTTCCTTTTACCAGCTGACATTCATCAATGTGTTAATGAATAATAAACATTATTATTGTTAAAGTGTTATCAACGTTTGACGCAATGTATAGAAGACGTATGGTGCGCTCAGGCAATGGTTAGGTTATTCGACGACTGACGATAGTTGCTCGCTGCTATCTGTGCATACAGCGTGGACTTAGTTGCACATACCTTGACTTTTCATGTTCCGGGAACAACTTCGCTCTAATAAAAGCTTTCGCATTCCCCATTTACTACCTCAGAAGCCTTCTGAGACAGTAAATGTCAGTGGTCCTACAATTACGTCCTGCAGTTAATAATTGGGTAATGAATGTTGTCACAACACTTTACTACCTCAAAAGAAAGTAACTAGCGCTACATTTTCTAAGAGTGCGGTCCGTCTGCGTGGGTTCAAGAAAGCAACAATATAAAAAAGAAATTATATAGAATTGCAGGTTATGAGCTAATGCACACATACCAAGGAAGAGCGAGGAGGAATCGTCCTCTGCACCGTCTAGTGGCGTATGCTGTAGAGAGTATTGCTCTAAATAGCTATCGAGAACAATGCTCTGATGGAATGCGCCAGACAAAGGCTTTCGACACAGACGGCTCACCACTAGATGACGCAGATGGCACAGGAATGGTCGGACGGCAATGGTCCATATACTTTTGCTCACGAGTATACGTAGCAGGTACGCACAGGAATGGTCGGACGGGAATGGTCCATATACTTTTGCTCACGAGTATACGTAGCAGGTACGCACAGGAATGGTCGGACGGGAATGGTCCATATACTTTTGCTCACGAGTCTACGTAGCAGGTACGCACGAGTAATCAGCTCAGGCACTCGCACCTTCTATAGTATGTAACATATGTGAAGGTGATTTCATGGTGACTGATGATCACTGCTGTTGCATTTCTGGGTTCAAAAGATCGTTCATTACTCTACTCTTCAATGCTGTAGTAACGTTAAATCACAACACATACTGCTACATGTACTCGCGAAGCTTTTCTTATACAGCGGTCATGTTGAGTTACCTTCATGGCATCGTTCCGAACCAACGTTCGGTTTCATTAACAAGGAGGGTATTTCGGACTATAAACAAATGACGTCAACCTTAAACGTCTTCACGCTAAGCACGCAACAAGGCGCGATGGTCCCCTAAGAGTTAACAAAATCTGCCCAACTAAAGATAAAGGTGGCCCAGCAAAGGAATCTGGACTCTCACTTCACTGTTAGTCTCTCGTATTACTGGTTCCACTTTTAAAAGAACAGAAGCTGGTTTATTACATTTTCTCTTTCCTTCTTCAACAAGTGAAATAAAAGTGAAGTGTTTTCGCAAAGAAAAGTTCTAGCTGGGCTGTGCTGTCACTTCCGCATCATAAAACGCAACGAGTAACTACTTAAGAGTAGAAATCGAAACCAGGAGGTTTGAGTACAACAAAGCATGCTTTTTTATACTAACATCGTGGCGGGTTTGAAAACGACCGCATAAAAAGTTAGGGTCAGATAAGGAAATCAAAATTTTCGCGTCTTCTTCAGTGGTCTGGATTCATCCTTCTTCCAATAATTTCGAAGGTCAACACTTCTCACCGAATGACGCTTAGATCCTTGCTTGCTCTTCGATCACTGTATACCTACCAGTACGCTAAAGTGGCCTGGTTGGTTGGTTGGAAGAACTTAATTCGGGTCCTTCGGAGCGCGCCCTAGCGCGCAGCGGGTGACTCCCACGTCGGGACCTGCCTGGGGATGGTGGTGGTGGTGAACTATTGCCCAAAAGGGAGTCCTGAAGGGCACCCAACTAAAAGTTAGGTGTAGAGGACACCTCCCATGTTGGCCCGGGAGGCCCTGCGGTTAGGTGATGCGTCACACGTTATTCACCCTAGTTCGGTGATTCATGCTCTTACAGGAGCGTATAGAGATGAGCACATTCTTTCACGCATCTTCGCAACGACAGGCACGCTGCATTGTCATGCGAGATCGTAAATCTGACCCGTCTTCCGGTCGCTTGCACGGAACACGGCGACATCGCGTCGTCGTCAGCATATGTGCACGTTTTTTTTTTTTGTGCCAAGCAGGCTTTTTTTTATCGATATGATATAAGGAGATGTCAATGCACAAATGTGGTGCCGGCTACTCCTTGGCCCTTGAGTGAAACTTGAACACGCATTTTAAAGTAAAACATACAAAGCAGTGCATGGAAAATAGAACACTCGGGCACAGATATGCAAGTACTTCTTTATTCCGAACCATATAAGTTCCGTTTTGTGAAGTATATGAGAAAACTATGCCCCCCCCCCCCCCCCCTCCGTTGTTGTTGTAACCCTATGAGAAACAAGAATATGATTTGCCGTTTATTCAGCAAATGTAATGTGGGTTCAGACGGAACGTTGAGGCAGGAAAAGTGGCACTAATTTGACTTAAAGGGACCCTGAAACGGTTTTCGACGACTTTTTACAAACGCATTGGGCCTGGTAGACCAAGTTCCAAGGGTAATTTAGAGACCAATTTGAGCTCTCTGCGTAAACTGTGTAAGTTATTACAACGCTTTACAGCTGCGAAACACTCCAGATCACTGCAGATCGCTGCGACTCGGCCAAACGCGTTTTCAACCACCCATACACCAAGCGACGCGCTCTGCCCCATTGACGTCACCGTTTCCAGCTGATCTGATTGGCTGTAGAACGCACAGACGGCCGGTATCAGATCAGTGGTGGGATTAACGCGTATACGGTCTCACGCGACATCGGGACGCAGGCGCCGTGAAGGCGGAGCTTAGCCCCGAGCGCTCGAAGAGAGAGTTGAGGGCAGTTGAGGGTGAAAGGTGGAGCGCAGGAGGAGGGTACTTTTCAGTACTCGTAGCTTCGTTAATAATGGGCCTTTCGATTGAATTCTGGGGCCAATGATTTGCTCCAGTAGGGGTCTAATCAAATATGGAATGTGAAAAAACAGTTTCAGGGACCCTTTAAGAAAAGGCTAAAGCCTGAGGATATTTGTCGTATCTATAGGACGCAGCTCGCAGACGGAGAATTCTCACAAACATTATGCTGAAACGTAAAGAGTGTCGTAGACCATGTTCTGGAACGGTCACTTTATTGCGAACCAATAATAACGGTTCCAGTTTACCTTGAGTCATTGCAAGATCCCCCAACATTCTCAGTGTAGAATATAAGATGGTCGAAACTGCTATCTATCTATCTATCTATCTATCTATCTATCTATCTATCTATCTATCTATCTATCTATCTATCTATCTATCTATCTATCTATCTATCTATCTATCTATCTATCTATCTATCTATCTATCTATCTATCTATCTATCTATCTATCTATCTATCTATCTGTCTGTCTGTCTGTCTGTCTGTCTGTCTGTCTGTCTGTCTGTCTGTCTGTCTGTCTGTCTGTCGGTATGTCTCTGTCTGTCTGTCTCTGTCTGTCTGTCTCTGTCTGTCTGTCTCTGTCTGTCTGTCTCTGTCTGTC